TTACTAAGTCGCAATTGCGAGATTCCGTGGCTTATATTTTTTTTACTACCTGGCGGAAACGGGCTTCCATACTCATATTTCACAGTCATGATATGCGCCATTTTTTGCTTATTTTTTGATGCATGGTCATGTGACTGATATACCGCATACCATTACATATAATGCTGTAGATAATCTGTGTGTAAAATGTCTCAAAGGTTATTTGCTGCACATGGAGCTAGATTATCAGAATGGATTGAAAATGATGACGAAATGAAATGTTTTGAGAAAATTATCCTACAATCTCTCAAATCCACACAGTACTACATTCTTTTACACTTGGACGTATCTTCATACGTCAATTTTCCACGTGCGCTTTCAGGCTGGGGACGGTTGTGCGCGCGGCAGCTGGTGAGCATACTATACATTTGGCTGTGGTTGCGGATGGTTATGGTCGGTGCGTGAATACAGCGTGATATTCCACCGGACCAAGAGAGGGCAGACATAATGCAACAAACACAAATACAAGCAATGCAGTGAAATGGGTAAACTTTTATCAACAGTGTTAAAGTTATTAATCTAGGCTTGGGCGGTATTGCGGTAATATGGCATTCCACATTTCGACGACATTAGCCGGTACTCCCCGCCCCTTGCTTTGTGAATTTTATGGCCAATTTTTCAAAATACAGGAATAGTATTGCTTTTTAAAATACCATACACCACAGTATGAAGAATTAGATAAGCGCGGGTACCTCAGACCCTCCACATACAGCAACTCACCGTGTCTACTACAACAACAACTACAGCTATTCTTCCTCTACTCTTTCATCATTGACTGATAATCTGCGAAATCCCATGCTGCCACCTACTGGAAACACCTAGTCAATTATTTTGCAAAAAAAATTTGGGCTACACACACACACGGACCGCAGCCAACCCCAGATGACGAAATTTCCATCACGTCCCCTCATCCGCATCCAAAAGCGCGCACAGATGAGTGAAGTATGAATTGGCCTCAATGCCCAGATTCTGTTTGTGGACTTCATCTCTGCCTTCAATGATAGCAACCCTGACTTACTGCTTAAGAAACTCAAGACCCTCCATATCCAACCATCTCTCTGCTACTGGATTCATGATTTCCTGACAAGCAGGAAACAGGGCAGCTACACTTCAGAGTGCCGGTGCCCCACAAAGATGTGTTCCCTGCTTTAATCTTTGAACACCAAAAAACTACACTTTAAAGTAACTCCTACTCTGAATGGACTTATCATGAATGGTGAGGAGTCCAGCTCCCGAAAGGAAGCTGACTGGTGTCATGGTGATTAACAACAAAGTTGAACACACTGTAGGAAAAAAAAAAACGTGGAAATGATTTTCGACTTCCAGAAGCCCCGCCTCCGCCACTCGTATTGCACGGCACTACAGTCAAGGCAGGGGAGACCTTCAAATTCCTAGGCTCCACCGTGCAACAAGAACTCAAACGTGACACAAACATTGCCTGCATGACTAAGAAGGCCCACCAGCACATGTACTTCTTGTATCAGCAGAATAAATTCAAGGTCTCCCAGACGGTGGCTCAGCTGTAAACCTAGCAGGTTAATCAATTATTGCATCCTCCATTGATGTCTGGTTTGGCTCACCATCACACTCTAAGCAGACACTTCAGCGAATTGTGTGATGTGTGGAGAAGATCGCTGCCTGTCAGCTCCCCCCGTTTGAGGAACATCCATCCATCCATCCATCCATTTACTTCCGCTTATCCGAGGTCGGGTCGCGGGGGCAGCAGTCTCAGCAGTCTCAGCAGGGAAACCCAGACTTCCCTCTCCCCGGCCACTTCATCCAGCTCCTCTGGGGGAATCCTGAGGTGTTCCCAGGCCAGCCAGGAGACATAGACTCTCCAGCGTGTCCTGGGTCTTCCCCGGGGCCTCCTCCCAGTGGGACATGCCCGGAACACCTCACCAGGGAGGCGTCCAGGAGGCATCCTGACCAGATGCCCGAAACACCTCATCTGGCTCCTCTCGATGCGGAGGAGCAGCGACTCTACTCCGAGTATCTCCCGAATGACTGAGCTCCTCACCCTATCTCCTCCCTTTTGGCTCAGCTCCTCCTTCACCATGGCAGACCGATGCAGCGCCCGCATCACTGCTGACGCCGCACTGATCCGCCTGTTGATCTCCCGCTCCATCCATCCTTCACTCATGAACAAGACCCCGAGATACTTAAACTCCTCCACTTGGGGAGATGTACAATTTATATATTTATATTTATATGTCTGTTTGCTTATTTATCATTTGCATGTCTTTCTTTTTATTTCTACTCCCACTTTACTTTTATTCTATTTATTGTTTTTGTAGTTTTGTTTTGATTGTATGTTTAATTGTACATCTACTGTATCAGTCAAGCCTCCATCTGCACCAAAATACATTCCTTGAACTTTTTGTACTAGTTGAATAAAAAGATTTGGTAACACTTTACCTGAGAAAGCACAAAAAATTTAGTATTTATTAACCAAAAACAAAGTGTTAGTTACGTACTGATCTCACGTTGGAACTATATCTGTTCATGATTTGTACTTGAGTAGTAACTGAGTTACTAAGTTACTTGTGCCCCCTCAAGTACAGTCGATCGTTCTATATTGGAACATCCCCCATTGCGGTGTTGATATGCTGTGGGGTCCGCTTAAGATCATTTGGAATTTTGCGAAAGCTACAGATGACACGCAAAAATGCAGTTTTACTCATAAATGCATAAAAATGTACACTGCTGGTTTGGAGAACGCCAAGCGTGTTCATGACAGCCTCTCACGTGACATCTCGTCGTCATCTTTGTATCTCGCGGTTCTTGTATCGTTCCACTTCGGTTCTGCTCACCAAGGAGACCAAAATACTTTACGTTGTTTCTCCAGATTGCAGGGGGGCTGTGCCCCTAACCCCCACGATGTGGAAGGGTCAACTGTGAAGTGTTACAGTGATTCTGATCTGTACAATAACAACTGTGTCTTATTATAAAACGTAAGTAGTACTCCTCGGTTGTCTTTTATTTCTAAACTTTGGTACCAATGATATGGAATGATGGAATTAATCATTTAAAAGTAAAAACTCTGGGGCAGTAAAGGTCAGGGGCTCTCTGAATATGGTGAATGTCCTTACCCTGGGAAGCCAGTCAAAAACTTTCTTATTTGCTGGTATGCATTGAAGAATAAAATTTTGCGCCTTGATTTAAAAACGTGTGTATGCCAAATGTAACCCTTCTCTCTATTACTCCATCACCTGAGAGCTATGGCAATTATTTTCATCCCGTTTCCTAAAAATCACACTTTGTAATGATTTCAAAAATTTCAAAAGATGAGATTAGATGTGAGAATAAAGACTACAAAAGTCAAATGCTGCTCCCAGGTCCTATAGGTGTGTGCCGTAGGTTCATTGGAAAGTTTATTTCAGCTATTAGATATTTAAAAAAAAATAAAAGATTGGAGAAATTCAAATAATCCAGCAAACAAGATAACATTATCTCTTACTTCTACTCATCAATTCCATCTAGCAAACAGTGTCACACCAAGTGTGAGTGCTGTCATTCTCTTATTCCTCGGTTTCTGATAATTAATGATCTTAAGTTTCAAATCCGTCATTTGAATAGGTTATTTCCTTGAAAACCTAGTGATGGTTTGACTAGAACTGTGAAAGAGCACAACCAAAACAAGATCAGTCCAGGCTGCTTCTCTGCTTTATTGAATGTGAGCTTTCTGTTTTGTACAAACAAATAGTACACTATAGGCTAGAGTAAAAAACACACTTTGGATATTATACTCAAACATTTTCAAAAACAGACAAAAATATATAATTCCAGTTTCTGATAGAGAATATTTGTTAATTTATTAAAGTACACAAACTTAAATAACATGTAAATATATGACTGACCATTCGTTTGTGCTTCACAAAAATCAATAAGTTGCAGTCAGTACACTTGAACAGCCCGATGTAGCCGCGTTTCCTCGGATTTTCTTGTGTGAATTTAACCTGAATTAGTTTTTTTCCCAAAACAAATAAATCATGGTCTGTGTTCAGAACTAACAAATTTGTTTTTCAGTGAAGGGCAATTTCAGAATGGTTTGGTTTCAAAGTTCTTAGTAGCTGCATCAGTGATTTTTATCCATTCATCCACCTCCTAACCACTTATCCTGATAAGGGGCACAAGGGGGACTGTAGCCCCCATTTAATGTATGAAATCATCATTGAAACAACATGAATTCACTGGATGCTTCAAGCAAATCCAGGACATTAAGGTTAGTCCTGAACTGCCACTATTAACCAGTAGAGGGCAATATACCATTTCAAAAATAAAATCAAAGGGAACAAATAAAAAAACTATCTGGAAATCTACGACCATCCTTAACAAGCATCTGCACTGCAGACAGATGTACTGGGTGTTAATGAAAACCACGCAGCTCATGTCATTCACAACGCTTCCTTTTTCTGTCCTGCAAGCTCCTTCCAAAAAATGGATGTTATTTTTTGGTTTTTTTTTCATCCTTTCATCTCAACCTTTCCATCGCTGACACACTGTACAACAACATTGGCAATAAATGTCACAGTGGGAAAATCTCACAGATTAAAATGCAATATCTAAGTATAACATAATGTACATGTACAGGGAATATAAATCTGCCAAATGTATTATTTAGATTTTAAAAGCTTGTATAGATTTAGGGAACACTGTAAAGTGAGTGGTGCAAAAACACACAAAAAAGGCACGATAATTCGGGCCGTTTGGTGCAAGAATAAAGTGAAATACAAGTATATCTTTTTTTTTGGAGAACCACTGGAATATGCCAACAATTGCCTGAGTGTTAAAACAAATAAAACATTGACATTTTTTTTTCAACATGCATTCACATCTCCAGTCAATACAGCAGCCTGACAGGCAATGCGATAGCAGTAAAAGTACAAAATGTTTGTCCATTAAGAAAGACTGACATTCCTCTGGCATCCATAGAAGTCTTTTTTTCACAGAAAAAACAGGAGTATCAAACATTTAGTAAAGTCAGTTCATGACAAACCAAGGACATTTGCATGCATTTTTCCCATAGTATAGAGGTTGAATACAAAGGCAAACAGATTGCAAAAAATGTCACGAATGTGGCAGCGAGAGAGTCTACCTTGGTGAGCCAGCCTTACTGACACATCTCCTGCAGCTTTGGGCCATTTCTGGGGCAAAGAATTAACCTGACTAAAGATCCTGTTACCTCCCATAGTCCCTCCTATGCTATACAACACCTGAACAAAATGCTCATGAAGTGTTACTTGCACAAAAATGTTCTGAGGGCAGAATAAAAAATGATTGGTTCAGGGAGATTAGATTTTAGAGGAGGTGGCTTCAAGCAGCGAGAGGAGGCGGGACCAACCAATCAGATATCTTGGACCCGCCTCCTCTACAATTCGATTGGTTATCTCTCTGAACCAATAATTTCTCGTTCTGCCCTCTGAACATTTTTGCGTAAAAGTAAAACTCCCATGAGCGAACAAAACAAATAAAACTTCTAAAGTAGCTTTATCACAGAACAACAAAATACACCAAAAGGCTTGCTATGAACCAGGTGCTGTGTCAATGTCAGCTGAGTATGATAAATAATTTAATAGGTGGGGAAAAAAGTTCTGCCTTCCTGTTGGGTGAAGGCATGTGTTTAAGATGCCTGACTGTACAGCCCCTTCTGCCGTGTTACTGTCTGCTGTCAGTGTTTGCAGTGCAGGTAATGTGCCAAACTGGTGACTGTGAGATACAGCATGCTACTTTTCTGCATTTTTTGTAAATACTCTGCACCAAACAAACTCAGCTGGCAGGTTCGAGAATAACTTTAGCTTTTTCTTCATTTAAGTTTATCTTGTGTTATGTGATAGACCATGAGTTGTTAATCTTATGATACAATAGGGAATGATTTGGGGGGCGTAGTTTCTTAAAAAGGTGCACTATGTAATCGACAGCAAACACTCACATTTTATACTGACTTACATTTCTTACATAATCTTTCTTACTGATGTGTATCTTTTCTAATAACCTCTCATCTGTTTCTCCAAAATGTTCTGAATAGCTCAGGAAACTAACATCTACTGTATGCTTTCGGATTATTTGATCTGACACACTTGGAAACAGGTTTAAAACACATGTTGCTTTCTAAACAAATCTTTTAGGAATGATCAGGAAACAGAGCTGAATACAGTGCACCTTTGACCACCCAATCTGATAAAAAAAATATTAAACAATAAATAAATAAATATTTTCTTCCTGGGAGTCACTGTTCTCCTGGGCAAATTAAAATCACTTTTATAACCAAATAGCTATAAGAGCATTTCACAGTATAATCCGTTCTCAGACTGACTACATAACTTCAGGGATTCTGTCAGCGTTGGTTCAACATTAATGCATTAATTTGGCCAACTAAAGCACAGACGCCACTGCATGGGTGACATTCTCATAGTGTTTTCTCACCAGCAATTGCATTGATGTAAATTTTCTGGTTCGTTTTAGAGAACCACTATTAATCTATCATATCGACACCACATGTCACATTTATAATTAGGATGGGCAGCTCTTTGACTCTGGAGACAAAGCAAGATCTATATTCTCTGGCAAGGGTTACATTATGTCCTGGGTAACTTTATGTCATGAAACCGTAACTTCAGTGTAAGATACATATAAAATTTGGGGAATATGAAATGAGGCAGATTTCATCTGCAAACCATTATCTGAATTAGGATCTTGTGGGAATGAATGTGTCAGTCAAGGCAGGCTCTCACCCAGGCCAGACAGAACGAGCTGCTAGCCACAATGGAGGGTAGGTTGTGTTTAGTCACTGAACACTGATCCTGGCAGTTCGTTGGTCAATGTGTGCCATCGCTCGATTTTCTTGTCCTTATTCTTGAGGCAGTCAAACCAGTGTTTCAGCCTTTCTCCATTGGCATTAATCCCCAGAGAAACTCCACCTATTAAACAAATAAAACACTAATTCCTGTAAAGGCACTTTTTTTTTGAAGGTAGACAAAATATTTTGAGAAAGCTTCCTTATCTGTCGTGCAGTGTACTATGTCTAACAAAATATCTCAAGAGGTCAGGTCTGCCTCCATTGTGATCAAAATATTTATCAATTGGCATACAGGAGCCAAATAATTTGTGGGCTGATTTCCATTTTTTGTGATTGATTGGATTAAATAAGAGGTCAAGTAGCTGCAAATCATTCTAAGAGCAAAAGAGTGAGCAGTGATTGAAATGTAAAAGCACAGTTTGCAGTACAAAGCTTATGACCAGTAAACAATTTACTCATGCAGTGAGTGTAATCAACTCATCTTCAAATAATTATTTTGAAAAAGATGGGATTTTAAAAATGAATAAGGTGGGACTTACCAATGAAATCGTTGGACTTTCCAATGTCATAATCCCACACTGTCACCTCCAAGGTCTTCTTTGTTAGGTCAGCATATTTGATTTCATAGAAGAATTCCTGAAAATGACAAACAGAAATCTCATCAGTAGCACAAATAACGTGGGCAAGCAGTATGTACTTTTCATGTCAACAAACCAACCAACAAACAATACACAACAGATACAAATCTGGCCATTTTCATTATGTACAGATAAAAGCAAAGAATGCTTTGACTCTGATTAAAATGCCATTAAAATGACAGGATCACACAACTGCTTCTTTTTCACTCATCTGTGTACCTAGAAATTCTAGGCCTGCTGTCAAAATGTGACGCTGTCCTGCGCCCCGGTACAATTAAATTTTATAATTTTATATGTATAATTTAACATATTCAAGAGCCCCTCTGAAGTGCTGGGCCCCCTGAATCTGCCAGGGTACCCACACCCCTCCAAGGCCGCCATCCTTGTGAGTGGATGTTAGTTAGTTAGTTAGTTGGTTGGATGAAAAATCACGGGACTTGAAGTTAAGAGGATTGAAATTTTTTTTAAAGCAAATTTCATGACAGGGTGCTTTGTAGATTCTTAAATGACTCCAGGCATCAACAAACATTACATTTCTTTAAGAGACGGCGCTTTGAAAGTCTTCTTCTAGTCATGGCTTTTCTTCCACAAAATATATTTCCCAGTTTGCATAATATTCATTGTTCAGTTTGCCCCAATTTAACCTCCAGTTTGGTCTATGTGTTCAGCCACAGTCAGAGAAGATAAAAGTCCTTCCCCCATTCACACTTGCCTCTACTACATCATTTATTTATTTTTACAATGTCAATCAATTGCTGCCATGTACAGTATCAATCAATCACAGCATGTCACCTAAAAAGGAGAGTAATAGTGTCATATCACATGACCTGGCCACCTGTCCTAAACACAGTAAAAATGATTTTGGAGGAGTTTCACCAGAGAGTGAAGGAAATGTGGCGATTGAGAGCTCAGCATATATGTGGGACCAACTTCAGGACAGTTGGAAAAGTATCTCAGGAGGCCACCTCATGAAATTGGGATAGAGGAGACAGTCGGGTCAGACAGTCCTGGGACAATTGGGGTTAAGGGCCTTGGTGGGATCACTCTGCTGACCCAGGGATTTGAACCAGCAACCTTCTGAGCCCCAAACCACAGAGCTACCTCCCCAACAAATTATAATTTTTTGTTTAATACTTTTTTGGTCAGTGCATAATTCCATATATGTCATTTTATGGTTCTGGAATCTTCATAATTATTCTAAAATGTGGAGAATAGTACAAATAAACCTTTCTGAGGGCCGGTGTAGCCAAACTTTTACTGGTACTGTAGGTGAGCGGAGATGGGGCTGCTTTGTGGGAGTGACAGGATGCTCTCCCCAGGCAGCCAGTGTGTCACAGACCCCTGATCGACAGCATTTTTACTAGGTTTTGCTGCTTCACTGCTAATTTTCTGAGCAAATGTTCACTTACTGCCCAGCTGTACTCATTCTCTCTGACTGCACAGTCCGGTGCACTGGAACAGTACAACCAACAATAATAGAGTCCATTTCTGTAAATTCACTTTTCCTGACAGTGTATATATACTGTGTGTATGATTGCCATGGGAAGAGAGATAATGAGACAGAGTAAAGAGCAAATTGCCGCCTCACCTCATTAAACTCTGGGTTTAGTGTTTTCTTTTTTACTGCAGTCTTGTGCTTTGATTTCTTGTTCTCGTCTGGCTTCAGATACCTGTGGGACAGCAACTTAATTTTCATCATCAATCAAACTATAAAGCATAATTTAGTCTGTCCCTCATTGTAAATTTGCATCAAGAAAAGAATACATTCACTGTTCATAGTACTATGATGATGTGGTTACAGTGACAGATGATAATATGGGAAAAAAAGTAGCATATTTTTCATGAGTGGATTTGATAGTAGTGGATTTTACTGGAGGAAACTGTGACAGATAGGCTGAAGTGAAAAGAAAATCACAAAACCTGCCAAAAATCACAAAGTAAGGACGGGCCAAACAGCAACTTTCTGTAGTTTGAAATTGTAAAAATCCCCGCCGATATCTTCTTCTCCAGCAGAGGGCAGTGCAGAACTATATTCAGTTTTTAACGCGTCGCTGTTGGAGCTTCTAAGCATATACACTAAGCATATACACAAACAACGCTGTATATACAAAAAACTGCACTTCAGTTACTTGAAACCTATGCGATTGAACACTGCAGAACAATACATATTAAATAGATATTATGAGATTTCAACCCACATAACATGATCAATATTTCAGCACTTTTTTCTTTGTAACAAAGATACGGATCTGCCTTTTTCATAACAATTTTAAAAACATTATTTCGTAATACTGGGGTTTTAATATATTTTAATATTCAGTACACTGGTGCAATTCAAAGTACTGTAATTTAATCAAGTACTCAAGGCAACATGTTATCTTGTAGATACAGTTATGAAAGCCTTGCAATCTTAGACCAGTGTTTCCCAACCCAGTCCTCAGAGACCCCCAGACAGTCCACATTTTTGCGCCAACCCAGCTTCCGGCCAATCACGAACACCGAATACCCGGCATGGTTGTGTTGGGAGCTGGGTCGGAGCAAAAACGTGGACTGTCTGAAGGTTGACAAGGACTGGAATTGGAAAGACTGATCTAGACTATTGTTAGATATACAACCTGGAGAGGAAACTGGAATGGACGGCACCGCTGTTCCACAACTCCAGGCTGGGAACTCAGATCCCACGTCTGAGATTTATGTGTGTGGAGTTTGCATGTTGTCCCGCGTTACGTCGGTATCCTCCAGCTATGCAAATTCCCTCATACAGTCAGGATAATTGATAATTGGTGTATCTAAGTAGCCCCAGAGAATATAACTGTGTGTGTGCCCTGTGTCGGAATGCCATCCCATCCATGTGGCTCTTGTCTTATTTTGTTCCTGCTGTGCAGCTCTTGCTCCTATAATACTTACTCTTGTACCTGGGCATTCACTGGAAGCTCAGCCTGGCTGCTTTTATGACTAGTCGACTCGCTGACATGTTTGCAATGTGCTATTTGCCTGTATAAAATTAAATGTACAAGTAGCCCAACCCTCTGCTTTCAGGAACAGGCTCCCTGTGACTCACATCAGGTCGATAAGTTACTATAATGTTTGAGAAAGTATGCAGGAAGGACAGAAAATGATAAAGAATCCTTAAGATTAAAATTTAAATGGTGTCCTGTCACTGCGAACTCTGAACCCCAGAAGTCCTGCAGAAATCTACAGTCTCAGCATCTGAAGGCTTGCTGACAGCTGCCTAAGAGAGTCAGACTGTTGACACGAGAAGATGTTGCGTGTAAAACCACGTATTCTTTATCCACTACAAGAGCTGATTTCCAGAGGTTTTCTGCTTGTGCCAAAATCACGTAAATGTGATTCAGGTTTGTCTCTAATTGTGGATTAGGGTACCCATATCAGCGTTTCATTCTGCCAAGCGGGAGGAAACATCCGAGTCACTCTTGCTGAAGCGGTTTATCTGGCAAAGCGGGTTATCTGTCTCGCTGAAGAGCCCCGCCCAGGTCATCCACTCAGGTGCTGACTATGCATGGATTAATTTTACCATATCACACTGAGAGACGGTGTCTAGCATTATTCTCTTCAAAACATCCTGCTGTAGTGAGTATGATTTTAATTGGCGTGATAACGACCAAAGTACTAAAGTGTATCAGTATAGCTATTCTCTCAAATGTTGCCTGTAGAGCTGACCCTCTGATACAAGATGTGGAATTTCATACTTTCTGTATCTTAGAACCAATTTCAATAAATTATTACGGCTACCCCCACCATGCCCGACAGCGGCTGAAAATATGTCTCCTGCAGAGAGATATCTAAGTATGTAATCATGCCATATTGCTTCAGGCTAGCAGTCTGAAAATGCAGCTCCAGAGGACAAACTGAGAACAGCACTGCGCACTCAACTTGCTATTAATGTTGGGTAACACTTTATTTGACAGGGCACAAATAATATAATGCTATAATTTTTGTATTAATTAACTACAAAGTTTTAGTACCATACTGATTTCATGTTAATTCATCAGTAGTGAATCATGACATCTTTTAACGAGCAGATACAATGTTTGTTACTACATCTGTTAATTCTGTAAACCTTTGTGAACTACTGAAGGAACAAGTAATTAATAACACAAGTGAAATACTGATCTCATGTTCGTTCATTTTTAATGAACTGCAACATCTTTTGTCAAGCAGCCATATTTGTTCATGATTTGTACTTCAGTAGTAACTCAGTTATTACTAAGTCTCTGTGCCCCGTCGAGTAAAGTGTCACCTAATTTTTTTGTTTACAAGACTCTTTGTGTATGAAAAAGAGACATTTTCCTTCTTTCCCATCATTCCTTTCCCGTTCATTTCAATGCCAGTTACGCTGCACCATCAACATAACAATGATACGTTTTTACAACATTTTCGTTAAGCGCACATGCAGCCAAAGGGCAGGAATCTTTTCCAGCTGAATGTGTCAGTAGTTAGCACGTTACATTAGCATGTTAGTAAAGCCGTATATCTCTAAGTAACAGATACTGTCAAGGAAACGCAGAGGAAATGTAAGCGTGCGAGGATTATAAATATGATTATTAATGAGATTTCTGAGCGGTACGAAGCAGCATTGACCAGACTCATTGAGATGCAAAATATTGTAACAAAGCATAGAGGCAGTGACTCTCTGTGAGCTTATGACAGCATCAGCCGCCTGTCATCCAACATAAAGTTAACTGGTTCACGGTAAATAACAGCGGAAAGGAGCAGCACGCAGAAATGAATAAGCTAGCTGGCAAATATATTCATCACCGTGACACTATATTAAAACATCACTTTGACACCACACTAAAACTATATATCACTTGGTGTGTTTTATGGCCGTTTGTGTGTAGGCAATTATATTTCAGCCAGAGAAGGAAGACACCTTGCTTAGCTGGTGGGTGGGGGCTGAGATTCCGGGAGGTGGGGGGGGTAATTCTAAGATTTGTTTTTTATGGAGGAAGGCCAGCCTCATTAGCCAATGGTATGTTTTGATTTGGTGAGTGATTGGAGAGGGGGAACTCTGGGGGCCAATCAGCTTTCAGCCGGGCCCTGTGGCCCCACCCCTGTATACTCCAAATAACCAAAAACAGCAACTTTATATGACCTCACACTGTGGTGTTTATCGTGTTGCTCTATGAGGTATGTTACACAGTATTTCAATTATTTGAGATATGAAATCATAGATGCTGTGCACAAGAACATCCATGATACATTGACAGAGCACCCTGACAAAACACATCAATAATTCTGCTTGTTCATGGGACAGATATCCATGTTGACATGCCAGGCAATCAGTAGTGTGACAGATCTGAGTGCAAGCACGACTCGGGGAGAAGTGAAAGTGAAAAGCAATATCGACCTAGCAACAAGACTGGGCTGTGATGCTGTACGGCCTGGATAATGAATGACAATCATGAATTGACATGTTGGAAACACAGCACAGGCTTATGACATCCTGAAGGGGCGGGCACTGCTCTGCATTACGCGTCGTGATGAATGGATTCCCGCACGAGATACTACAATGGCTGAAATTCTTCAGGGGACATCTTCATCGTAAGCTGATTCTGTTCGCTGGTCACAGCGTCCCACAGAATCAAAGGAAAGTGTATTACAGTACAAACACTCCTCCCCGGGGAACTTCTGCATTCCTCACCCTCTTCTGTTATGTTACCAGGAGACAATATCCTTCCAGATGGTATGTGTCGTCTGTCAGTCTGCATGTAACTACCAATATTCATGTTTAGCTTCGAAATTTACCTTAACCTTAACAATATAATTTAATTTGATTGAACTTCAATGTATATGTTGATTGAATGTTCAAATGGCATTTTCATCTGATCAGTAGGGGGCGCAATTGCACCCCCTGCCCCTCAGTAAAATCACCCATCCATCCATCCATCCATCCATCCCCTGACTGCTTGCAGGAGCACCTGAAACACTTCCCAGGCAGCAAAGGCCACCAGGCTCTTTCTGAAATGCTTCTAAAAATGTATGTTTTCTCTAAAACTGGCGTTATTTCTTAAGAAGTACAGATAAAGACTTACAAACCCCTTGTTGTAAATAGAGGAGGTTTACAAAAGACAGAGTCTTACTGCGATTCTGGGCTGGAGTGTCTTGCTGATATCTGTAATCGCAGAAGATCTGCAGGGTGCCACTACTGAGATGTTAGGAAGCACAATTTGTGGAAGCCCTGTTTTATCCATGACCCATAATTTTTTTTTCTTATTTTGATCTTCCATTGATCTTTGCAGGGCTAGTAAGTAATTAACCTTGCACTGTAGGAACACTATACTATACAGCTATACTATACAGCTATACTATACAGTGATACAGGGGCTGTGGTAATTGTTTCCCAGTTATTTGTCAAACAGACTTTCACAAAAGTGATATGACATCTTAATTTATTAAGTCAGTAGAGAGTAAATGCAGTTTTCTAACTTCTAGCAAACTGAATCAGTCATTCAATGAGCTTTCATTGTACTGTGTACAAAACAAAGCAGTTTAATGTAATATTAAATCATTTTTTATTTTATACACGCAAAATCCTGTTATAAAGTATTACATCCCCTTTACTTAGGACATCTTGGTGCCGGTAACACTGGACAGAGAGAGTTTGAGAGCAATAATGAATTATTGCCAAACAAATAAAAAATAAAAGGATTCTTGAAAACTCTGTACACATTCAATGTTAATTTGAGCCAGAATCAATCTGATGAACGTTTTACGATCAGAGTGAAGCTGTCAGCACTCAATTTCTATAGACCAGTGTTTCCCAGCCCAGTCCTCGTGGACCAACAAATGGTCCACATTTTTGCTCCCTCCCAGCTCCCAGGTTGAGACACACTACTCTAGATCCAAGTCATAGAAATGCCAGACTTCAAGTGAAAGCAAATCCATGCCTTGGTAGCTGGGCCAGTGGTGGACTTCTCAGGAGTGGGCATTCTGCCAAAATATCTATAACGGAGGAAGTTCAGCTGTTCTATAATCCATCATTCAATAGACAGTGATTAAAAACAGGATATATTGTAGAGAAGAAAGATGGAGACAACTGTTCACTAAGTAATACAAAATGATGTAGATCCTCCAATCAAGTTTCCCTTAAACTACTTTTCTGAAGCGACCCTTTTGGCAGATGTGGATCTTCTTATAATTCATGACGTACTTTATATTCCGCAGTTAAAATTCCCATTGAGTTGGTCTAGTGTGCTGGTTGTAGTGTAATGCCTTTTAGATACCTTGCTGCAGCACGTCTTGGACTATTGAATGAGCTGTTAATTCTGCTCTGTGCTCTGCACAGCTCAGCAGAACATCAGGCTGTCTTTCAGTCAAAGCTGAGACGCCGATGATCCAAAGTACAACAATAATTCCACATCCAGTTCATTGAAAAACAGGACCTAACTCAAGCTTTTTGGTGGTGCTGTGGACAGACTGAAACGCAATACTGCTAAGCCCCATAAATGTCCCTCAAGTGAAGAAGTTCTGCAGAGGCCAAGTGATCCCAGAATTCCTCTACGCGGGTTGTTTATTTGTCCACTCATATTTCTTAGCAATTTGATAACATTCAGTATCACAAAAATCAAATACTTTTCTTATATACAAATACAAGCACGAAGCATTGCTTTGTATAGAGGATGGTCAAGTCCTTTTGTGACTTTTGTGTCACTATATAAAGAGCTGCAGCACAGCCGGTCCTCATAGATCTTTTGCACTCTCCAGGGAGTAGCACTGTCCCCCTTGTATTACTGGGAACTGCACAAGCAGCATTCTTATAGCAAGGGGTAAACACTGAAAGATGATGCCACTTTACAGCAGGGCAAACTGTGAGATAAGCCTTGAGATATATCAACAGAAAAGAATTCCAAAAGTGTGTAACAGAATGATAAAAGTGCAGTATGAACAGCCAGCAGTAGAGCTGGCCAACATGCCCTAAAAACAATATCACAATATATTCAGTAATTTTCACAATATCAATAATTATCATGCTATTATAAAATATGACATGTAGTTTGAAGTTATGGAGAATGTGACAAGTATAATGATGAATTACACCAACAGCAGACTCATACCTCGATGCAATTTGTGTAAGAATAGCGCATGCTAACCGTTAATCATGCAAGAAATCAAGTGCTTAGGCTATATCACGATTCTCACGACACTTAAATTGAAGATGATATGAATGTTCAGAACCACGATACGATATTTTAACGATATATCGCCCAGCCTTAGCTAGCAGCAGGGTAAACACCTACGTTTTGACGTAAGGGTCAGAGAAGCCATTGGCGTCCATGGCGGCCAGGTGGGCGCAGCGTATGATGCCCACGATCAGGCCGCACTTCTGTGAGCTGTACTTCAGGGAGATCATGATGCGTCCTCTCTCCTCCAGGGATTTGTCGTCTGTTTTGTCAATCTGTGGAAATGGGGTGAGGATTATTGGGGGGGGGGGGGACTGATCTCTCTTTTTACTCCTCTGTTGCTGACTGCCCCACAGATCCACTTTCTTGTAGGTTTTACTGAAATTTTTGAAAATGCAGGTGCACAGGACAAGGACCACAGAAAAAGCACTGCAGTGAAATGTGATCTCCTGCTGCAATACAGTGAAAATTACACCATCAGGCAGAAAATGACAACAAAAGGAAGGATTCTGAATATTTTTAAAAAGTACAAAAATGCAGGACAGTACAAAACAAGGGGTTAAGGCTGTACGTCCATAGTGTCTGAGTATGTAATCAAATGCCTCTGCAGTTAGCAGTTACTGCACGCGCTGCTATGTTTTATTGATCGCACTCAGGGAGAGCCTACAGAACAGTCTGAGGGCCACTGGCTGCTCTTCGTTATACAAAAATAGAGTGATATTTTCCGTTCACATCAATTTACAGCTATTATGAATTTTTTCCTGGGGTGCAGTTTTGGTTTCCTACAATGGATTTCTACATTATTGCAATACACTTTAGCCAGTGGCTCAGCTGCTGGTGGAACTCAAGTAGGTTCCTCAAGCTTTTGAGGGACACTGCATGAATGATCTCTACAGAACTGAGCTACAGCCGATTTATTTACATCCCCCTGTCTGCCTCCAACCCAGCTTAAAAAAAAAGAAAAGAAAGAAAAGCCATTTTGGCAACTCTGTGCTGAAATCGTCAGGTAACGAAGGACAAAGGATGATTCGGCAGCACTGCTGAGAAGGTATGCAGATTAAACAGACGATAACATAGACTTATAGACACAGCCTGCTGCTCCGGCAGGCAGCCACTTTCAAGCCAGTCGATTCCAAAGGGAATGACAAAAACAAACAAACCAACCAACCAACCAAACAAACAAACAAACAAACAAACAAACAAACAAACAAACAAATCCCACAACCTTAAGGAGAAAGATTGCTTCCTTGCCACTGTGTCAGACATTTGATATTCAGTTTGCTGCTGAGCTGCTTTGCAATCAGGAATGGGGGGGCTGACATTTAGCACTCCATTAGCTTGTGAATGAGTGTGTCGTTCGCGGCTGTGACTGAACCTAGGTGATGTTGGGATGGGGGGCAGGGGGCTTAGTGGGAGGCTGTTTGCCTTCTTATTCTCTTTAACACTCTGCAAAGATTCCCCTTTGCCGCCTGCCAAAAAAAGACCCCAAGAGATACATGCTTAGAAGGTGCACACACATCTTTCCTTCTCTCTGGCACCACCTAGCTGTGAGGTTATGGAATAGGCAGTCCCTGTGGCTGAAACATCTTTCTAAATCATCCATAAAGCCAGCAGCAGAGCTCTCACAGCAATGCACAGTATTTTTAAGTTTTAGGATCTGACAAATTGAAAGCATGACAAAATAACATGGTACACATGTCGTGCTAAAGTTTCAATTGTTGACTCATATAAGTTGTCAGTGTGACCCTCTGCTTCCATAAATATGGCTGTTTGGTAAATCTCAGAATCTATCCTACAGATTTGTGGACACAAAACATTGAAGCCGTGGTGATGCTTATTGTCAGATTCTTTATTTTCTCCATGTGGCTCCATGAAACAACCAACATTCACTCATACCAAAGTATTATTTCCATCAAACAAAAATTTACTAAAAAAAATGAAACACTGGTATTTTCCCAAACCGGTTATGTTTGGCGTAATATCATTGTAAATACAGCTTTAATCTTTAAGTACTAAAAGTACTAGAAAACCCTACAATTTACATAAATCCTTTGGTGCATCATGAATAATTTATGGTCTTTCATCCATCCATCCATCCATCCATCCATCCATTTTCCAACTGCTTCCCCACTACAGGGTCATGGGGGGGGGGGGGCGGAAGCTGGAATGTATCCCAGGCAACAACAGGGGCAAAACAGGGGGAGACGATGGACCGAATGCCAGCCCATCGCAGGCACACACACACTCTAAGGGCAATTTAGAAATGCCAGTGTAACAAGTGCATGCCCTTGGACTCCAGGAGGAAGTCCACAGTGCATGAGGAGAACATGCAGACTCCACACACGTGGATCTTCATCCAGAGAGGATGTATCCTGGGTGTATATACAGTACTGCGCAAAAATATTTAAAGCTGTTTGTCTGGGTAATATGCATTTAATTCCTCAAAATTAGGAGTAAGACAATAAAAATTATCAAGAATTTCTTCTGTTCTCCAAAAAGTTACCGATATCTAGGCTAGATGAACACAGCTTCAGTTCCCAAACCTCTCCTAAGGGGCATCCCAGCCATTCCATGCATTTCTTACAATTTCATCACCAGCTCACTTAATTAATTAATTGAATTAGGTTTAAAAAGTCAATGGTGTATTGATTAGCCATACGAGGTGTGCTGGTGGTCAAGTCCAAAATACATGGCTGTATTGAGAGGTTTCCAAACGGCTAAGCAGACACACTTTGACAGACATCGTAGTTTTCCACCAACATGAATGTTATTTAAATATTATTTCCTTTGGCTGCCTTAAGACTTTTGTACAGTTCTGTATATAGAAATTCAACTGGAAATGTGAAAAAAGATCTTTTTATATATAAATCATATTTATATAATTTCATGAAGGACATCATAAAAGTATCTTCCAAAACTGTGCTTAAAAGTCGGGGTGGAGGCACACAACCTGTTTGACATGACTGGTTAACTGTAACGTTAGAATGGTTATTACAGTACAGTCATCCACTCACTCCCCGTCCTCCCGCCCTGTCAGCCTGATCTCGGATCACAAAAACCCGTCACCTCTGCCATTCTGTGACTGTACAGAAGCCTGCATGAATGAGATGCTTCGCATCGCAGATATTAAGGAGAAATAGCTTCCTGTTAACCTCACCTGTTCATTTAAGGAATAAAAAGCAGCCAGTGTTTGTGGAACAGAAAAATCATGGTTCCCTTGAATTTCAGATCAGTCCTTCAGCAATCAGCAGTCTACCTTGTGGAAATACATCATGTTAATGTGATTGCTCAGACAGCACTAAGACGGTGACACTTGTTCTGATGTCGGCAATGTCCTAACATTTGCTTTTTGTAAAGCCCTCGAAAACATGCCCAGAAAAATGCCTGCTCTGCTCGACACTATAAACCCGGGGATTTCACGGATTGTTGCTGCATTTTCTTGGGTGTATTAAAGCTGTTTTTCAAAGGAATTCCTAGTCACATTATGTTATTTGCATAAGCCTTTATAAATAAACTCCGGAACAAATCTCCTCGTATTTGGAACTGCTGAAGAAGTAGTGCAACGTATAGTCTTTACAAGTTAAATATTTGATTTGGCCCATAAATCAGTAGCACTGACACTCAAAGTGGTCTCAAGGGCCAAAGAGATCATTCTTACTGTTAATTTTGTGTTAAATCACAAAATCAGCAATTCTGTACAAAAGAGTCACACACGAGGTGGGCAGACAGTCACAAAACGGTCCTTTATTTGACATCCAGCCTTCCTTGAACCCTTTCTTAAGGGCCAAACAAAAAAAATTACTATCCTGCCAAGGCCAGGATTCGAACCAGTGACCTTCTGGTCACAGAAGCCACATTATTGACACCATTAGGTGATTTTTTCTGAGGGGCACAGGTGGTCATTTGGGGGGGGGGGTGCCAATACTGTGCAAATGCCACCTCTGATCATGACTCTCAGGATGGGCGACGGACGAGCAAACTGTCACATGTCACAGGAACCGGCAAGCAGGCCCCTGTCAGGTGACACAGCGCGGTGACGCCACGCCCACCTCCAGGTACAAACAACCGGCAAGGAAATGCTACAGGCAGAGCGGCTGTTAATGAAATCCTACAGGCTGACTGTCACTCCTGTAATTGTCAGGCGGAGAAGAGGCGTCTCTCTCGCGCGCAATGACGGTATTTGGGCTGTCAGCGCTAGTGATGTAAAACCCCATTGTTCTGGCAGAGGCCCGCTTTCGCGTTCTGAAGGCTTCCTCTGATGTTAAACGGAGAGGGGAGTTTAAAAAAAAAAACAGCCCATCAGAGCAGAACTGCGCCAAAAGCCGTTCTATGAATGAAACTCACCTGATGAAATTAGAAGCCTTTAAAAGCACGGCGGGATAAAACGGATAAAAGGCCACGGGCACAAATATTAAAGGTGAATTCCTCCTCCTGATAGAGGCTCTGAATTTGGAGTAAAAGGTGTTCAAAGGACCCAGGCAAAATCTTTTCACTGATGTTGTTATTTTATCTTTTTTTTTGGAGGTCGGTGTATTTATAAGTGCGTTTCCATGATCAAAGTCAACAACTGTATTTTGGTTAAAGAGATCAAACTAAGTGTGATTCTACGCTGTGTAGGAAACTCTGGTTTTGTATTTGTCAATGGATATTAATAACACATTGGAGGACGTAGATAATAGGGCTACAACAGCAATAGACAAGTCATGTTCTATATTTAAACTCCCACACCTTTGAATCATGTGGCAAATTGCTGTCTAGGTATCTATATAACCCACATATATACCTACATACATAAGCTACATACAATACTGGTCTAAAGTCTGGACTCACCTACTGGAAATCATGTGTTTTTCAACAAAATAATAACCCTAAGCTCACCTTGAGGTTATGTAAGTATTATTGTGAACAAGGAAAGCGATGGAGTGCTGTGACAGATAACTTGGCCCCTACAATCCCCCCCAACCTAAACCTATAGTGCTGGTTTGGGATAAGTTGGATCAGAGAGTAAGAGTAAGGTAGCCAACTGCTGCCCAGAACTTGTGGAAACTCCTTCAGGACAGTTGGAGAAGCATTCCAGGTGGCTACATCTGGAAGCTGGCTCAGAGAATGTCAAGAGTCTGCAGCGCTGACATCAAAGCCAAAGGGGATTATTCTGAAGAGTCTAATACTTGAGAAAAGGTTGAGATGTTGAACACTTCTCTTGGTTGCTTAAATATTTGATATGCATTCCTCCATAACCTCACGGTTTTTTACTATGTGACTAACATAGATAATGTAGAGACAAATGGATTAAGAGCAGGTGTGTCCAGACTTGTGATTGATACTGTATATTTTGGACAATTTACATAGAATAATATTTAGTCTATAATAAGCGAGGACAATTATTTATGTTTTTATCCAGGAGTATGTGATACATAATAAATAAATTGGCAAATACAAGATGCTGTGAAAAAAGAATGAATGAAACAAAAGTCAGCTTTGGAGTCAGAGCTGGGCTCACAGGCTTAATTTTATCGGATGCAGGACACAAGACTTACAGGTAGCTGCTTCTCCAGGCAGTTGCTGAAGTTTTTTGTCTGGTTGGGTTTCAGTTTCTTCAGGGGGATGCGCGTTTCTCCGATGAACTCATTGTGGCGGAACTTGTCCTCATCACATACTGAAATCCTGAGAGCGGAGGGAAAACAGGGGGGAAAAAAAAATAAGGAAGAATTCAAGAGTGGGAGAGCCATGCGCAGAAAGAAAAGGAGTGGGGGAAAGGTCAGAGGTCAGAGCCTGAACTGCGGTCACGCGGAAGGTAGCTGTGCTCGGCTGGGAATCGTGTGTCGCTGAGGTTTCACTTAAACTACGTTTTTTTTCGTCCTTTGCATCAATCCCACAACCGCCTGCAGCATCACTACAAAAGTGCACCAATATGGCTGAGGCTTCAGGCAACGTCGAGGACAAAGCTGTCAAGCTCAAAAGCTCAGTACTTACTAACCTCGTTATCCAGTTTCGAGGAATATCTTATGCTATAACAGTTTCCCTTGCCTCCTCTTCACTTTCAGCTCGAAAATGCCTTTGACTCACACACAATCTGGCCCCAAGCACTGCAAGTCTACATATTTCAATATATTTATATATATATTTTTGCCTAAGCTGGGTTTTATTTTATTCTAACATGACAACCTATTTAAGCTACGAAGGGAAAGATTTTGAAATGCTCCGGAGGTAGATCTCCACATTGAAAAAAGACAGTCAAGGTAAAATGTAAGCTTCTAGAAATTCCATGCCGACGATGGCATTCTTTGCTTGAAGCTTTACCTTGAATGTCATACATTTTTATATATTTTTTTGCTTATGTTGGAATAATAACTGTGAGATCAGTATGTAGGCAAAACAGAATCATGTTTGCATGGGGAATTATATTTTACTTGAGGGGACAAGCTTTAATAGACAACAGTAGACTGGAACATATCAGAGCAGTCTCCAGCATAGACCTTCAACAGGTAGTACAAATTTCATAGTTTAATTTACAAGACAAAATTGATTTACTTCCAGAAAAGATCTGGCACTTCTGTTTTTTTTGTTGGTTTACAGTAGGACCAGTAAGCTGGTGAGAAGGTCGACCCTCTGTGTCAAAATGAGCTCAACTTCAGACATGTGACCCAGCGGAGGCACCATCTTCAATCTGCAGCAAAGACTGTGTACAAATATAATTTATTTTAACCTTCAGCCTGCTGTGCTCTAAGATGAGAACTGCACTGCTCTCGGCCTCACGCCTACGGCCGTAATAGAATCGGTATATCTGACTTACGCTCAGAAGCTTGCCAGTAGCTTTCAGTGCGCATGCTCTGTAACAAAGCAAAAGCTGTTGACACTTTTCAGCTTTATTAGCTTATTAAAGGGCCAGTTCACCCCAAAACTGCAAAGCAATGTTGAGTATTTTTCTGGTGCTTTAAACACCACAGAAAGAATGCCATTCGCTCCATTCACCACTATATTTGAGAGAAGGCCGACATTTCTACAGCCGATATCTCAAAAATTAGGCAACTCCTAGCAGAACAATCTAGATCAGGGGTGTCAAACATTCTGGAGGGCCGGAGCCCTGCGCATTTTTGGGTTTCCCCTCATTTAACACACCAGATTTAACTCCGTGTGCTAATTACCACACAGCTCATGAGCTGAATCATTTGTGGTGGAACAGGGAAAGAACTAAGCTACATAGGACTCCGGCCCCCAGGACTGAAGTTTGACACCCCTGCCCTAGATGGATAGATAGCACTAAAGCCCCACCAAAACATCAGTTTCAGTTTTGGGGTGAACTGCCCCTTTAAATCGGGCATATATGTTTGTCCTACATAGATCACTACAGGAAAGTGGCAATTCAAGGTGGCAGCAATTTTATGTCACTAAGAAATATGTTTGGAACATAAATCATTGCACATAATATCCATGGAACCAATCATCTCTCCATCCATCCCCACATCCACGCATCCCCTCAGTCTTAGTGATAACTTGTGCAGAGTTGCATCATGGGTATATTCAGGACCACTGAAACACACTCACTAATGTCAGTTTAAAATAATTATCAGCTCATTCTCCAGAACATGCGGGACGACACCAGAGTACAATGCCAATCACACACCTGCTTTTAATGCATTTGTCTCTATATTAGCTATGTCGTTCACCTTATAGTGAAAGAGTAACGCAGAGAGTAATGCATATCAAATATTGCAAGGACTACGAGGAGTGTTCAACATCTCAGCATTTTTTCAAATTTTAGACTCTACAAAATAGCCCCCTTCTGCTTCGATGACAGCTCACAAAATAGTAGCACTGGTAATAGTATAATAGATGGTTATCTTTTTGAAAAACAAACGTTTTTTGGTTGGTGTTTGGTACTGTATCAGGAATAAACTGACACAACGTCGACTCAGGGAGATGCTTCAGAAATATTTATTTCCTTTATAGCATATATATATAGAAAAAAATTACACTTGATTGTGATTAGTGTGTAATATACGCATTTTATGGATAATTAACTTTTCTTTTTTTTCATTCTTAAGTTGTTATACAGCAAATTGAACTGTTATTAGTCGGCTGTCAAATTTACATGCATTTGGATTCTGTGACCTACTATTAAGACAATACAAACCTCACTGGAGACTGCTATAGGTTATTTCCCTCAACTAATTAAGTAGAACATCCATTCCTTGTAATCATGAGCAATGAGATGGCACCAGCAGCAGTACAGCAAACAATCTGTCCTCTGTGACGGTTTCAGGAAAGTGTGATTGCTACCATAGTCAAGCTGCTTTAAACTGTTTATTTGCTTGAACAAATTTGTATTTTTTGACCCCAGAAAAACTAAATACCACATTTTTGTAATTAAAACAACATAAAAAGTAGACGATATAATTCCTTCTATAATAATTACCCTAAATGTCATTTAAAAACTCCTATTATACCAATTAGCTATAATTACTTTAAATAAGGAACTCAAATGAGAATTGCGGAATGACTCAGCTATTGTACCGTCTCTAGCTGGAATTCTGAGCCAATATAAACGACAGATCATCTCTTACGAACAACACGGCTCACTGTATGGAAGGATGATTGGCTCAGTTTGCACCACGCATTAAAACTGAAACCCCAACCCAACAAAGTCCTCAGAAAAAGTGTTTGAGTGAAGTTCATCGTTACTAAAACGACTGGTGAGTATGGTGACAATCGATAAACAAGCGTAGGGTTAAGCACAGGGACAGCAACTCAGTCTTCTCGTGAGACCTAGCGGGCCTAACCTGCCCCCATAATGTCATTTTCGACCCCTGTGCATTAAACTGTTAAAGGTACAGTACCAATCAAAGGACGTCAAGTCGCCTACAAAGGAGTGATATTGCCACATCACATAACGATGATGATGATGATGATGATGATGATGAAACCCTTTATTGCTGTTGCAATACACCATGTCACTAGTCATAAGTACCAGCGAAAAAACTGGCCATCAACCCGACCATACATATACAGAAACATCACATTATAGGGGGTAGACAGGTCAGGAAGACGGGGGATATAGGAAGGAGAGAGAAAAAACTGAATTACATGAGGAGAGAGGAGGAGAATAAAAAAATAGCCCACAGACTGTACTCCAGTAGGGAGTACATTGTAGAAACCGAAAAAAAACACCTCAGCGACATAAGCACAGGGAAAAAGCCTAAGGAGTATACTGTACAAACAATGAACAGGCACACAGTACATAACACCTGGCAATTAATGCATGGAGGTACTGTCCAAGCTTTAAGCGGCAGTGCAACAGATGTAAATAGATGTGAACAGATGTAAACAATATACAGATGTAAACAGATGTAAACAATATACAGATGTAAACTGAAAATAATCGATACTTCATTGATCCCTGTGTCGAAATTATCTTTACACCTCCCTCAACACACTCTTTTTTTGTTTTTTTAGAGTAAGCTGAGGATTAAGGGCCTTGCTCAAGGACCCACTGGTTTGAACCGGTGACCTTTAGATTACAGGCATACAGGCTTAGCCCACTGAGCCACACATACAGACGTGAACAGATGTGAACAATATATTCCTTAGGCTTTTACTTTACAACTATACAGATATGTGGTATCCCAAAACCCCAAGCTAGCTGCCATGGGTCTAATTAGGACCATCCACTTAATTCCCATCCTCAGAGGCTGCCATTTACTTGAGGCATGTTCCATCCTCTGTTAAATACCCAGAAGATATTGTATACAACTAATGTCATTAAGTGATGTATTTAAAACTCAGGGAACCATGTAAGGAGGTCCTACATGTATGCTGAGCACTCATTGGCTGCTTTTCCTTCACTCTCTGATTAAACTCCTCCAAAACCACTTCTACTGTGTTTAGGTCAGGTGGCCGGGTCATGTGATGCGACACTATCACTCTCCTTTGTAGGAAGCTTGGTGTGCCCAAACTTTTGACTGGTAGAGTACATTATAAAGAAATATCCATTTAAAAATCAAGAATAAGAGCTGAAAAATTTGGTAATGTTGGAATGTATGAATAAAATCTCTGCATGAAATTAAAATTTAAATTAATTGGGTAACACTTTCTGAAAATGCCATGTATATAATAATAGCCTTAGACACATTCATAGTACATAATAATGCACTATAAATATTTATATAAAAAGGCATAACACATTATAGCCATGTTTATTATGCATTATGAATACTCTATGAAGCTCTCACCTACAATACACTATAGATACCTTCATAATGCAGTATAAAGCATCCTTAATGCCTATCCCGGTTATTATAATGTATTATGACGGTATCTATAGTGCATTATACATGAGAGCTTCATTGGTGCTTATGAAGTATTATAATCAACGCTATAATGTCTTATGACTGTCAATAGAAGATGCTATAATGCTTTATTAATTCTTATACTAACCATTATAATGCATTATGAAAATAACTATAATGTAAGTTCTACTGTACAGGGAAATTCAATGAATTTGAAAAAGACCACTAATGCAAAACCTAAAAAGTATGGGAAAATTGTATTTAAATTTGAAAAATTTGAAAGACCAGTAATGTAACACAACTTTAATATATAAGGATTAATTTACCTACATGCATCTAATTAATATTCATATCTGTAGTATGTATTGTTTTGGCAAA